AAGAAGAAGAAAGAAGAAGAAGAAGAAGAAGAAGAAGAAGAAGAAGAAGAAGAAGAAGAAGAAGAAGAAGAAGAAGAAGAAGAAGAAAGAAGATGAAGAAGAGAAGAAGAAGAAGAAGAAGAAGGAGGAGGAGGAGGAGGAGGAGGAGGAGGAGGAGGACGAGGACGAGGACGAGGACGAGGACGAGGAGGACGAGGAGGACAAGGAGGATGAGGAGGAGGAGAAGAAGGAGGAGGAGGAGAAGAAGGAAGAGGAGGAGAAGAGGAAGAGGAGGAGGAGAAGGAGGAAGAGGAGGAGGAGGAGAAGGAGAAGGAGAAGGAGAAGAAAGAGACAAAGAGAGAGATCTGTTCATATAAGGACACCATTCCTACAGATTAGGACCCTAACTTTAATATCTCATTTGATCTAAGTTATCGCACCTCCTTAAAGTCCCTATCACCAAAGTCAGCCACTGGGGTTGAGGGTTGAACATATGAGTTTGGGGCACACATTTTGGTCCTTAACACTAGTTTCTCCATTTAAGGTGTGATATGACAGCAGCTCCTAGGATGAATACGACCCACCTGTACTCTAAGCCATTTACACTCTCATCCATTGTCATTGACCCTATTCCTTTCTTCCTCCACCAGACAGTGACAGTTTTCTAGAGGTCGTCATTGAGTATATCCTGCACACACTGAGCAGTGAGGATGTGCAGCAACTGCTGACTGACGATGTCGCCTGGGAGATACTGGTGGAGACGACCGATTTGACCAGGTCACCTGTTTTGGGGCTCTCCAGCAATGCTGCCCAGATCCCCACTGGACTGGGGCTGTCAGGGGCAGATACACCTCCTCCAGGATGGTCCTGTGGTTGGGTTCAGGGTGCCCCTTTCCCTACAGTCCCTGAGGGACATGATCTCCATGTCATTCCCTGGAAGTGAGTGGTTTCAGGGTGAAGGGACACCTTCAGGGACACCCACAGCAGGCAGCTCCTTGCTGTGACCTGCGATTTAGGTGGCCTTTACTGGTCCCCTCACTACGTGCTGCCTCAGTTTCTCCATTCATCGAGTCTCCTTATAAGAAAAGTAGGATAATGTGTGAAAGGACTTGCTTGAGAAAGTCATTTAAATGCACACCTCATCAGTGTGTTTCTGGGGTTCTGGCTCAGATCATTTATCTTAGTAACTGAGGAACTGCACAAATACAATAGGACACTTATTTTTGTAGTATTTATGCAAATGTCACTTGGTGTGTTCTGTGTAATTGAGGCTGCCCTTGAATTCCTATGTTGACCAGGCTGACATCAAACTTTCCATTCTCCTGCATCAGCCTCTTGAGTGCTGGGAGTGCTGGTGTGTACCAGCATCTGGGCCAGGATGCAGAGCCCACTGTGGGGTAGGATAGAGCCAGGTGGACCCTGGCTTACTGTCACCTACAAGGCTGCAGGCTAATGCCTGGGAGACCAGGATTATGATGTGTACAGTTGAAGCAGCAATTCAATCTGATAAGACTGTAGTGAGCTTGGAATCAGAGGGGGAAGACAGCTTCCCAGAGGCCCACAGAAACTTGCGACAGGGTCAGAGCCAGGGGTGGGGATGGAGCAGATGAGGCCTGGAATGGAGCAGTAATAAGAAGCCTGGGGCTGCAGGGCTGGACAGAGTGAGAGAAAGTGGGTGCTGGAGGCTCAAACCTTGGGGAGTCCTGGCCCAGCAGAGGACGTGGTCGGTGAGGGCTTGTTTCCTGCCCTTGTTGTGACCCATCCCAGAGAGCTCAGAGGGCTGTGCTGGTGGGTGATTGTCTCCTTCAAGTGCTGCTGGTCACCAGTGAGTTCTCGCCTCTCATTTGGGACCCTTCTCTACTCACACAAAGTAGCCCTGATCATCAGGAAATGGTGGCTTAGTGACAAAGTCCTCAGGTAGAATGGTTAACAGCTGGCTGTGTAGTTTGCGAGTCTGAGGACACTGAGAGTCCCCAATGCAGAGAGGACATTCTCTATTACAATGTTCAGTTTCAGGGTTCTCAGGCTCTAGATGCAGAGATGGGTCTCAAGGTCCCCCAGTTCATTGCACACAGCCTTTGCACAAACTCATGAGAAGTGTCCCTGGCTAAGGTCTCATTTCGGGTCATGACATCAACAGAAAGGTCCTGGTCATGGGATCGGGTGTGTACATGAGCTGCAGGCTAGGTAGATAGGATGCAACCAGGGAAAATAGCCAGGTCTCTTTCTTCCCCATAACTTCTGGCAGCAGCTGGATCCATCTACCTTCAGCTCAAAGTGCAAAGGGCACCAGACATTGGAATAGAGTGGGTGGGGGGCCAACTGAACTGTTCGATCTCTTTTGCCTCAAAGGATTTACTTTTTACATCTTGTTACTCAGAGTGAACCAGATTGCAAAGTCCAAAGGCACAGTCTCCCAGACTACCCTTATTTTGGACACCACTGAAAATCTGAGAACTCCCCAGAACCCCATGCAGATGTGACAGTTCAGTAGAGGGACTCAGAGAATCACTGCAAATGTTTACCACACACTTACAGTGTATCATGAGGACAGGCCCAGGGTATAACCTGCTGCCACAGTCATAGAGAGGGCACTAGAGGCCAGAATCTGGCAGATAGCAAGTACAAAGCTTGCATTTTCCACAGGACACAGAGTGCTCCCGCATGTGATGCACGACAATTCACAAGGGGATGCCAGGCTGCAAGGCTCAGCCTGTGAAGGGAACATCACCCTAACACGTGGCTGAGCAGGCGCTGGATGCACTGGAAAGCCAAGGTCAAAGCCTACTGGAAAAGAGGGTCAGAGGGTTCTAAATAAATTCTGGTCATGCCATGTTCTCCAGACATCAGGGCTGACCTGGAGGTTCCATCTGCTTCTGGAGGTCAGTCGTTTTAGTCTGCAGTTTCTCTGAAGTCAGAAATGATCCCTGTCATCGATCACATAGTAAGGATGAATATCCATTATAGGAAATCCCTGGGATTCCTGAGTGTTTTACATGATAGCTGTTTTCTGATTTTGAAACATTTGTTGATACATTAAGAGATAGCTTAGAAATATGACTCCAAACAAAACATGAAATTCATTTATGGTTCTCTACTCCTTGTATGCATAGCATGGATGTAATTTCATGCAATTTTTCATCATGATTGTGCTTTGACTGTGGCCCATCCTGTGGGTCAGGCATAGAACTTTCTACTTGTGGCATCATGTCCATGTCAGTGCTCAAAAGGTTTCAGATTTAGGTGTTTTTCAGATTTGTTTTTGGAGTAGGAATGCTCAGCCACTGTTGTCCCCAGGCAAATACAGACACTCCTAGCAGTCAGGAATTCTACGGGCCCACAGATTACAAGCTAGTAGCTGAAAGCAAAGTGTAGGCTTCCATTTGATAAAGGTTTACTCCTCACTATATATTAATACTCTCTGAACTAAACCTCTCCCACCTATTGTTCCAATTCTCTGTGTTCATCTGCAGAGTTCCTGCTGCACAAATACATTGCTTATCACTGCATTGACCTTCCGTGAGATGGTGCTTTATCAAATACCCACCATTAAAAAGCATCTGAAAATGATGCACCGACATGGACCCCTTTATGAAATAATGATATCCAAAACATGTTTCTATCTGAAAGAAAGATTCTGTGCATCTGTGTAATTCTTTTTCAGTTGATTATAATGATCCTGTTATGTGTGTAGGGCAAACCTTACAGAGCCCATTTTCCAAATAGACAAACTGCCTTTCTTAACCCCTTGACATTTTCTGCTCCAGGGAGGAGGCAGATGCTGTGCGTGAGGCTCTGATTGAGCCTGAAGCAGACAGTGATGAAGACCTTCAGGCGAGGGAGAGCTTCTTCAGTGCATTTCCTCATGTGAAAAGGGAGCTGGAGGAGAGCATAGCGAAGCTTTATGCCCTTGCAGAGAAGGTTGACAAGGTGCACAAGGACTGCACCATCACCAACGTGGTGGCCGGCTCCAGTGGTGCTGTCTCTGGCATCCTCACCATCCTTGGCCTGGCTCTGGCACCTGTGACAGCAGGTGGCAGTCTGATGCTGTCAGTCACTGGAATGGGGCTGGGAGCAGCTGCTGCTGTGACTGGTGTTTCTGCGAGCATCGTAGACCACTCAAACAAGTTGTCAGCACAAGCTGAAGCCAGACGCCTGCTGTCAACCAGCATGAACACAGAGAAGGAAATTCTACAGGTTGTGGAGGATGCCACACCCAAAGTTTTTTCTGCAGCCAGGAAGTGTGGGGAAGCCTTCCAAGGCATTGAGAAAAACATCCGTGCCATTAAGGTGGCAAAATCCAACCCTCGGTTACTAGCCAGTGCCAACCGCCTCATGAGAACTGGGAAAATCTCAGCCCGAAGTGGTAAGCAGGTGCAGAGAACCCTTGGAGGCACTGTTCTGGCAATGTCAAAAGGTGCCCGGATCATGGGCGCAGCAACTGCAGGTGTCTTCCTTCTGATGGATGTGTACAGCCTTGTGCAAGACTCAGTGCATTTGCAGGAGGGGGCAAAGACAGAATCAGCTGCGGAGCTGAGGCAGCAGGCTCAGGATCTGGAGAGGAAGCTGGAGGAGCTCATCCAGATCCATGAGCGTTTGCAGTTGGACCTGACTAAGTGACGGACGCCTGAAGCAGTGCAGAGCTCAGGGCCCAGGTGCATTTCAAGCACATGCACAAAGGCAGGAAGTGCTGCAGAGGGGAAAAGAGGATGAGATCAAGTCTATGCAACTGTGTGTAAAGAAACTGCATTTCTGTGGCTGAGCCCAAGCAGGGAGGGATTTGTGTAGATAAAGTGGATTAAAGTGAAGACAGAGCCCTGAGGTCTGACATACAGGGAAGCTGTGTCTAAAGAGAGTGGGAAATAGGAGGAAAGAGATTCTTTCATCATAAGAAATCACTGGTGACCTGGGTAGACACATCTGCAGGAAGAAGCTGTGGGACATTCGGGCAAACAGAAGAGTGGAAATTGGGAGTGGCACAGTTAAAAGTGTTTGGGTACTGGAGAAGAAACAGGACTGTACTTCCTACCTTTTGCACAATCTGACACCCAGCAACAGCACAGTCTACCCTTCCTGGCCTGTATCTCTTTCTTTCCAGTGTCAATAAATGCTTATCTCTGTCAGGCAGTGAGTTCAATCGTAACATTGATGATGATGATGATGGTGGTGATGATGATGATGGTGATAGTGATGATATTGGTGATGATGTTGGGGGTGATAGTGGTGATTGTGGTGCTGTTGATGGTGGTGGGCAGTGGGGAGAGATGACAATAGAGCTGGTGGGGCTCTTCATACATGGCCAGCTCAGCAGAGTTGAGTAACTCATTAAGGACACTGGTGGTGTGTGGAGAAAAGTCCGTGCGACCGGAACAGAACGTGCCTTATGAATGTCACTGTCCTCATCTTTTGGGGAAGGAATTCTGGACAAGAGGTATCTCAGATCTGTTTCTCCTTCCTGTATTATATTCTACAGATTTTGGTTTAAAAAATATTTCTTATTGTTTTGGAAAAAAATGGATTTAAATTAACCAATTTCCATGGACATGAATTGCCATGAAGCCAAAGAAAAAAGATCCAGGATGATAATCTAGTCTTTATTGGGAATGTAGAGACAAAGTCCTGGTCAAGGGCAGCAGCAAGCCCAGTGCATTCCACTACTTGGGTCAGAGGGAGGTGCTGACACACTGTCAGGACAGAAGTAACTTTACACGAGGCTGACTGCACCTTGTTTTACCTCAACAAAACAACAAAGACGTGAGAAGGTACATTCTGGCATTGATATCACTATGATCTAAGAGTGGAGTCCCAGATACCACTTTAATGGTTGTGTATAACTGTGGTATGTGGAAAACTGTAGAGGGAAAAGAGGTAAGTGTTACTCTGGAGGGATCATATTGATCATATTTCAAGATCCCTGTGGTTGGGTCAGGATGGTCCCCATAGTGATACGTTGAGCCTTTGCTGTCCTGACTGACTGCCTCACCTGTGAACCCCTTGCCCGATCTCCTTTTCTTAGGAATCTTCTCCCAGGGTCTCAGTGAGCATTCCTGTTCACTCACTCTTCTCTCCAGCTGCTGCCACAAGTGTACTGTGGCAGGACTTGAAGGAGCCCCCTTACATGGCTCAGTCCTGTGGTATTGAGGTTGAAAGTGAGTGCGAGCTGCATGCCTTGATACTGAAGGTGAGCAGGTTTTCTACTGTGCACTCCAGAGTCTCTCCTCTGATGGTGACTGGCAGGACCAGGACGTCCCATCTTCCACTAGTTCTTTTTTACCATCCTCTAGCTACCTGCTTCTTCCTGACTGTCTTGGAAGAGAAGAGATAAGAAAAGCCTGAAGAGAGGATTGGGGCCTTCCCAGGGAAAACCAGAAAGAAAACTAAACTAGTCCTTGAATTTGTCCTTCTAAACCTGAGTCCGTTGGTTCAGAGAAAGAGGCACAAGAGAGAAACAGAGAGACACAGAGAAAGACAGAGACAGACCAGAGAGACAGACACAGAGACAGAGATGTACTTTTGCCCAAAGGCCTCACCTCCTGGCCCTCCTGTTAGGCTTTGCCAAAAATATTATTGGGTGTAATAGGGACTAGCAGTACTTTCTAGGTTCTCATTGTCCTGTTCAATGAATTGGACAGAGCGATTGGTGAATGTGACAGATTGTTATCTATATAGGGCACAAATAAGAACAAGGGGAAAGAAATTCCTGAAAGAAGTGCTCAAGGAGTGAAGGGTGCTTTGAGAGAAATAGAGAACATGTGGCCTACAAGCTGAACAGACCACTATGAGAATTAGAAATCAATGTCTACAAAGTCAATTGCTGCCAACTTTTTATGTTATTTTGATAGTTGGTCTGGATGGTTCCACTGGATCTGACGCAAGAAGATGGGTATGAGATACCAAGTTTTGTTCATTCTTGTGTCAGAAGATTTGTACTGGTGTAGGGCTTGACTTGATCTCATGTCAGTCCAGGGAGCTTTGCTCTGTGCCTGAGGTTAATAAGTCTTTTCTTGCCGGGTTGTGCCGACTATCCCTAGCTACTTTGCCATGCCTTAGCCTCATGCTTCAAACCCATGTATACTATCAGATCATAGCACACTGACAGTAGAGCTAGGAATCAAATGCAAAACAAACCATGGAAATTTTACAAACACATGGGCATTAAATAACACTGTTATGAATTCTCTGTGGGTCATAGAAAAATACTGAGGAAGAAATAAGCAGTTCCTTGAATGAAATAATAATGCCTGAACAACATACCAGAACCTAACGACCCCATGAAAATGGTCCTAAGAGGGAGGTTTGTTGCTGGGAATACTCATGTTAAAGAAGTAAGTTAAGCTCAAATAGATAATATATTCATGTCCCTCAAGATTCTGGAAAATAAGAACGATCCAACATCAAATATAGCACAGGAAAGAAGTCATAAAGACTGGAGCAGAGATTAATGAAATGGAGACCAAAAATACAAAGAATTAAGAAAATATACAAATCCCTTGGAAAACTTACTAAAAGTGGCAAAAATGAATCACTTCAATGAAACTGGAAATGTAAAAGGTGAAATCACAACAGACAACACTGACTTGCAGATGATAATTAGTCACTAATATGAAAAAGCAACTTAACCTTCTAGTGTCCAGATCCATGAACACCAGCTATAAGAAACAATGCCATCAATAATAGACATAGATTTAAACACAGGAGATTTATAAAGCAGCAGTAAACTCTTAAGGATTTTTCTCCCTGCTGACCTGATGCTGAGTCCATGCAGATTACATCAGTGATATCTAAGGCATTCATCACTGGGGCTGTGTGCCATTAGGTGAGAAGTGTTTAGTCTTGTTGAGTGACACTGCATATGAACTGAATGAACATAGCATCTATCCAGTCCAGGCAGTTACAGGGCCCATTTGGCAAACACTAGGCTTCTGGGGAAGGAAGAAGTTACTAAATGTCTCTTCAGGAGCAGAGACAGTCTAGTGGGCAGGAAAGCAGTGTGCTCAGCCTGAGTGGGCTAATAAGTGCCCACTTTTGATTTCTGACACATTCCTGGGGTACTGAACAAAGGGGAGAGGTGAATTGTTCTGCCACGCAATTCTGTTATCCTTTAAGCCTTGGTGATGGCATGATATCAAGGTCCTCCAAGAAGCTGGTGTTGGTGTTGATTTTGATTTAAATATTTTGATGGAATTGTAGGCCCAGTGAGTTTGATAAGCCCAGGGTTCTCCACTGACCTACCTCACTACAGTATGTAACCCCACCCCGGCCTGTGAACAATGTGCAGCTGCCAGAACACCCGTTCTCCTCACACTGCAGAACCGGGAAAAGGTTAGCCAGGGCCCCACCTGAACTATGGGGATGTAAACTGAAGGCAGAGAGTTTGTATCTGTCCCTTGGTAACTGTGTTACTGGGGATCTGACTGGAGGCTTGAGTCTGGGCCCCAACTATCTGGATGGTTCAAGGGTGTGTGTTGCTTTTGCAAAAAATTTATATGACATTCACATACAGTGGCACCTCAGTTCATGAACTGAATCTGGATGGTTCAGGCATTATTATTTCTTCCTTCACTAGGAAGAGTATGAGGAAACTCTTAAAAATTGAACAATGAATTTATTTACATTTTGTCCAAATTCAGAGGGCAGCCTTTCCCCTTGGAACACTCAGAAGCCCTGTAACACAAGAGAGGGAGAACAAGTCCAGCAAATGTGCACAAGTAGATTTCGCCAGACTTTGGCCCAATAGCAAGCCCAGAAAAATGTTAAAAGAACGGTTCTGTTGAAACTATTTTGTCACAAGACATGTGGGTGGCATTTGTCACTCCCAGCTTACGAAAGCCAGGCAAGAATCTAAGGTTCATTTCTTAGATTTGAATATCATTTGAACTTCTCACTTTCAATTCCTCCCTCAACTGCTCCATTTCTCAATATCTTGGGTTTTGTTATGTTTTTTGTTTTTGTTTTTGTTTTATTTTGTTTTTTGGTGCCAGGAATTGAACTCAGGACCTTGAGCTTGTCAGGCAGGCACTTCTGCCACTGAGCTATATCACTGGTCCATTTCTCAATATCATTTGAACTTCTCACTTTCAATTCCCTGCTCAACTTCTCCATTTCTCAATATTTTGGGATTTGGGGCACAGTGCTGAGTAGAAGGCTGTTTACAGTTGGTTTGGTGCACAGACTAGGTTAAGGCAGCTGAAGCACCTATGAAAGGATTCAGGCATTTGAGCCTAAAAAAACACCATTCCAGGTTGTGAAGGTGAATATCAGAGCAGGTTAAAGCCCACAGAGATGCACAGCTCCATTGCTGCGAAGGCATTAGCCTTTAGGCATTCAGGCCTATTATTTCTCTCCATATAACCTGTGTGGCCTGCTTACTTTTTTGGTAGAATTAACACCAGTGACTCCTGTGTGATCCTGACAATATCCCCCCTTTTCACTGAATGAGCTTTTCCTCCTCTGAAGGTACAGCTGATTAACCCTCCACAGTGATGTCCCTGGGTTTGGGGGACCCTTCTCTCAGTGATCTGTCAGGTTTCCCTTCAGCAGGGGAAATCATAGAAACTGGAGTCAGTGTTCAGAATTCTATTCTGCCAAAGTTGAGCAACAAAAGAAGCTTAGAACGGTCACTAAGCTGTGTTTACCTAGAGCATCTGGTCAAGCTTACTCTCATCTATTCCTTAGCAGATAGTGCTTCAAAACAGAATTTTGAGAGATAACATCTAAAAGATTATCAGGAAAAATGTAAAACAGATTACTAAGAAAAAAGAAAATACAGTTTATACAGCAGATTTTTTTTAACCTAAAAACATTTTTTGCCTAAAAACATTTTCAAACTATAAATTGTCTTTACCTAGAATACATTTAAATGATTTATTTGAAAGATATGTGCATTGAAAATGAATACATAACTCTTAGACTATTACAAAATGATGTTATCACAGACAGAAGAAATTCCACCTCTGTTTCCTGTACAGCTGTACCTTGGTATTCATCACTAACACATTCTAGGAGGCCCACGTACCAAAACCACCAAGTACAAAGCAACACATGTGAATAGAAAGACTAGTAAATCCAGAGGCCGTTGACACTGTTAAGTTAGTTGTGGTTTGTATACCAAAGAAAGAAAGAAAAGC